GTACACAGCCGGTACACAGCCGGTACACAGCCGGTACACAGCCGGTACACAGCCGGTACACAGCCGGTACACAGCCGGTACACACCTGGTAAGGCTCCGCAAAGGGGGCAAGGGCCCACACTCAGGAAGGGAAAAAAAAAAAAAAAAAAAAAAAAAAGCAAAGCAAAGCAAAGCAAAGCAAAGCAAAGATGCAAACATGCAAAGCGTGTTTACCCGACTCGATTTGCCTACGGACCGACCCAATGGTGGTGGCCATCCCTCGTATGCTTATGTGTGGAGGTTCGTACACGCTTCCCCGCGTGGGTAAGCCATGCGTAACCAAGCACGCCTTCCGGGGCTCGCTCCCCTTAAGAAGCATGCAACTTTTATATGAGGCAAATGTGAAAGCTCCTCACTCCCACACCCACCCGTAAAAAAAAGTGAACCAAAAAAGTGAACCAAAAAAGTGAACCAAAAAAGTGAACCAAAAAAGTGGCACTAGCAACTCGTGAAAAAAAAAATATATGCGTATTTTTTTTTTTTTTTTTTTTTTTTTTTTTTAACTTCTCCTTTGGAACCCTATTTGCTATTGTCACGTGGCGCACATACAAGTTGCCGCTAGGGAAAACTATACATCCGGAGGAAGGGACGAGGTGAGTTGTTAAGGTGTTACGTGTACACAGAAAAGGGACACACCCCCGCACATCATCCATCTGAAGTAAAGCAAAATGAGAGGCGCAGGAATTCGTGTGTTCCTTGTAGCAGCGCTCCCCCTCCTCCTACACAAAAATGAAGTTAGCACGCTGCAGCTGTATGCCAATGAGATACCCGCGACCCCCGACTCGCTAAAAGGAACACCCAAGGCAGCCACACCCACCAACAACGTATCGTCCGGAGGTGTCCCCAACGTCATGCTTGACAACGACACACAGTTTAGTGAGTCGCTAAAAGAATTTTTAAAGGGAACTAGTTATGCTGGAGAGGGAGTCGACGGCAAGAGTAATCCCCTCCTGGGGGATTCCTTCCTCGAGGAGAATAAAGACTTCATAAAGAAGCAGGTGCTCTCCGACCTCTATAGCAAATTCATAATAGATGTGGTGAACAATAGTACTGTGTCCTTCCTGGACAATCTGAGTGCTGCCAAGACAGGCAACACCGATTTTCAAATTGAAATGGAGGAGAGTTGCTCTCCCTTCTTTTGCGAGAAGGTCATGAAGGCCAAGGAGGTCGACGCGGTGAACGAGGCAAACGCGGCGAACGCGGTGAACGCGGTGAACGCGGTGAACGCGGTGAACGAGGCTAACGCGGTGAACGAGGCTAACGCGGCAAACGAGGCAAACGAGGCTAACGCGGACAATGCATTCCCCTTGAGCGATGAGAAGGAGATCAGTCTGCACGACGGAAGCGTAGATGGCACAGACGAGCTGGTGATGAACCTCGACCAAGTGAAGAGCGCCACGCAAAATGGAGCTGACCAAAGTGGTGTCGAAGGTCTGTTCACGCGAACCCTAGATGGAAATGAAGAAAAGCAAAAAATCATCCTCACAGATGGAGATAACGTATATGTGTTGGAGGAAATCACACAAGAAAGCAACTCTCCATTTGGTGAAGAAGAATTGAATAAGCAAAAAATCGAGCAAGAAATAAAAATGCATATACCTAGTGAGGTGAATGAAAGAGACACAGAAAAGAATAAAGACCTATTAGAAGAAATTATAAATTATTCAGATTCCATTGTAGATGATATGTCAGGTCCAGTGAATAACATACAAACGGGTTCAGAAAAAGGGATCAGGGAACATGACCTGACCAAAGATGCATCTAACTCTGCTGAAGCCATGGGATCAAATGACATGAATAATAATATGAGTGAGGATATATTTACAATGAGTGAGGAAGAGCTTTCTAAGAAAATCCTCGAAGAGATAAAAATGAACAGCGAGGACAAAGTCGAATGTTACACCATGTCCCACGATGAAAATAAATGTAATAGTTATAAAAAGTGCACTTATGTTAATATCGATAATAAGGACACCTGCTTCTTAGATTATAATTACATGCTTTTCTTGAAGAATAATAATTGTTCTCTGCAACCCAAGTCTGCTCTCCTGTCCATCTCGAAGGATCTACTTAAGTGAGTTGACTGATGGAGACAAGGGGTCGCATGCGGTGTGCGCGTAGCATTTTGCTTGATGCGCGATGTTACGGAACGAGCTCATTCATCATTTCCCCTTTTTTTTTTTTTTTCTTCTTCTTCTTCACCCCCCCCCCCTTTGCAGGAACGACATTATCAACAGACAAATGTTTCAGCTTCTTCGAAACAGCAATAACAACAATTTCATATGTGACACCATCACCTACTCCTTCCTCACTAACGTAGTGGATAATACGAACTATGAGGAAATCTTTTCCTGAGGAGGAGGTGGGATGGGTAGCAGTAGCGGAAGAGAGAGTAGAATGAAACACACACACAGCCACTTCAACCGTGCACGCCACACGGCCACTTCAACCATGCCCGTCACACACCCCGAGCAACGCCCCGTCGGTGCGCGGCCAGAACAGGATAGCGCGCCGTCTGAGGGGAGAGAAAAGGGGCCACTTTTGGGAAATGCCCCAATGCGCAAGTGCGCAACGAGTCCCGTCCTCGAGGGCGTGTGCACAATGGCTGATTGGGGTCGCCAGCCGTTGGAGAGCGACCTCCCACACCGCGTGGGGTTTTCAACCATTCACAAATGAGCGGGTCACAAAACTTGTACCTCCCTCACACCACTTTTATAGCAACTCGCACATTTTCACATGTAAACAGCTATTTCATCTTTTTCTTTTGCCTTATGTTTTTTTTTTTTTTTTTTTTTTTTTTTTCCCAAATGACCCTCTTACATTAGCCACTAACTTTGTATTATGTCACACTTTTTAAAAAAAAAAAAAAAAAAAAAAATTTTCAATTTCCAGGGCGACATATTATTATTGGCTTGTCCGGTTGGATGTTGAGCTTGAGGTGGGTGATCCGTCCAATGGGCTTTGTTGTTTTGACGGCATATTTTGTTCTTTTTTATTTATTTTATTTATTCTTTTTCGGAGGGTGCACCCTTGCGTAAGGAAAATTCAAATAAGGTACTCTCCCTCTTAATGACACTGCGCAAGCGGCTTCCGTCCTCTGCTCTGCTGTGTGTTTTTTTTTTTTTTTTTTTTTTTTTTTTTTTTTTTTTTTTTCATTGAAAGGCACTGCGATACTGGCTGCGTGACTGTGTGGACCTCCTTTTCACGTTCAACGTTTCCACCACGCTGGACTTGGTAAATTTTTGTGCCTACGAGGGTTAACAGCTGGTCAAACAGGAAGCAGCGTGGTCGATCTTTATTTTATTTTTGTTTTAAAACGACCCATTTGAGGGGAAGATAGCTCTGCCGTCGTGTTCCTCCCGGCCACTTGAGGGAATGTACAAGTAGGGGGGCTTACACAATTGTGCGTGCAGCTGGGGTTCCTAACCGCGCAAGCGCTTAACCGATAAACGGATCAGCCGCTTAACCGCTTAACCGCGAAAATGTCCCTGCTGAGAGACTCTGATCTGGAGGAAGTGCACAGGAAGATAATCGACGGGACTATTGAAAAGTGCAGCCAGTTCTACAACACAAGGATTTTAGAGGCGATAAAAATACGGTGGCTGAAGATATACGAGAGGAAGCTGCAGGCTGCGGACAAGGGCCCTGATGACCAGCCGGGCGTGTCGCAGCAGCAGGGAGCCCCCAACGCTAACGTGAACGGTAATGTGTGTGTGGAGCGGCGACCAAGCGGCAGTGTAGCGGCCAAGCGGCAGAACAGTTGTGTAGCAACGCAGCGACTTCCCTCATGACCGCTCCTTCCCCGCAGACGACTTTGGAGACGACGCCTTTGAAGACGACGAATTTGAGGACGCCGAAATTGAGGAGAAGGAAATTGCAGAGTTTGAAGAGCATGTCCAGGATGACGAAGCGGGTGTGTTTCCTTCGAGCTACATTTCAGCCATCACACAAATGTGTGTACTCACGCATTTGCTCATTTCACTGTTGGGGGAGGGAAAACCTTCCCACGTTGATAGGACATCACGTACTGTCCCCCCACCATGTTGGCCGCTTCCCCCCATGTGTCATCGCTTCCCCCCATGTGTCATCGCTTCCCCCCATGTGTCATCGCTTCCCCCTTCAGACGAACTGAATGAGCTAGACGACATCTCCATAAGTGACCTGAGCGACGTGGACCCCCCGACATCCAACGTGATCGTCGGCATCTGCGACAAGGTTAGTTCTGCCAGAGGGGAGGGAGGTCACGAGTGTTTGTAATTGTGCACGATCGTGTGTAATCGTGCAGGATCGTGTGCTTCATTTCCTTCCTAGTCGCTTGTGAGGATGACCCTCCTGATGGAGTTTCCCCAGCTGGTTTATAACACTTTTTTTTTTTCCCCCTCCTGCACAGATAACGAAGCCGTGTGGACGCAGAAACGCAAGCAGCAATTGGAAGATAAAACTTAAGGGAGGACTGATGAAGGTTTGATCCGTTTTCCGTTTTGTCCTCCATCGGAGTGTGACTCCCCCTCGAAGGGGTCCTCACACCAGCACCTTTCGTGGCGAGCCTCACACTCACCGCTCCTCACCGCTCCTTTTAATTCCTCACCGTTTCTGGCAGGTGGACGGCAAGGAGATGTTCTTCCGCAGTTTGCAGGGCGAGCTGGAGTTTTAGCCACGTTGATGGGTGTAGAAAAAGGGGGAAAGCACTTTTCCTAATTGGTGAGAAAATTTTTTTTTTTTGTTCCACTTGTACACCCCCAGTGCGATTACACACCTCGTTGGATGTTCACCTATGTAGTGACCCTCTTTTCTACCTTGACAACACGCCATTAACCATAACACGCATCCCCTTTATGCTCTGCAGACCGTTTTTGGATTCCCCTCCCCCGATGGCGTCCTCGCCTGGGCGCGCCCGGCTAATGGCCACGGCCACCAAATCCATATGGTTCGTTCAAATGAGACATACGTACGGGACAAGAGAGTGTGCTTGCGTTGTGTATATTGTTAAGTGGCACATGCTGAGCTACGTTCAACCTACACTGTTGCATGACGCTCGTGTTTTTTCCCCCCCTCAACCTGAGCAGCATTGTAGGAGGCGGCGTGGACTCTCTCTGTCTAGCCCTATACCTGGCCAAACAGAAACACCAAGTGAAACTTCTAAACGTTAAGATTAAATGCAGCCTGATTGACACTGCGTACTGGAAGCATAACGTATTCGAAGTGGGTAGACATTATACCTTCCCCTTTGGTGGGTCCTCTGCTCGTTTCAATGAACTCCTTCGATGGGTGAATGCAGAGGGTGAAGGTAAGTCTCCATCGCGACTAAAGAAGTTGTGGCGCACTTTATACGTTTAATGCACAACATTATATTTGCGCTCACACATGTGTTGGGCAGGCATCCCTAACAATAGTGTGTTCATGTCATTGCTCCGTTTCACCGCTACGACGTGTCCCCTGAACAGTCATTTTGAGCAACCCGTACGCAAACAACCTTTCCTACCTGGATGAGCATGGAAGAATTTACCGAGTCAATGAGTTTATTCTCAAAATTTTGTTCTACCTTATGAAGGATTACCTCTTCGGAGCCTCCATCACCCCTAACCCTAAAGACGAACGCATGGACTCGTTCCTGTTGAAACGATTCGATGCTAACTTATTCGAGAGTGTGATTAGTCCATACTGCTTCCACTACTTTGGGTATTCTCCCCGGGATGTGTTGATGCGGTAGGTGCGCTGATGTGGTGCGAATACTTCATCGAGGTTGTAGCGGCGCGCCGCCCATTCGTACCGTCTCCACGTGCACCGTCTCCCGTATACACCCCCCTCCACGCAGCGCGAACTTCTCCCATTTCATGGACCGCCTGGGGGAAGAGAAATCCCTCATCAAGACGCTGCGCGCAATCGCCAGAAAAGGTAGCTCCTCCATCTTTAACAACAAAAAGAAAATCGGAAAGTTCGGCAAGGGAAACGTCACCCTGGTCAGGTAATGCTCAGCTAATGGTCGGCTAACGGTCAGCTAGGACCGAGGAGCAACTGGAGTTGTTGGTGTGTCCTTCGTCCTAGTGCCCTCCCCCCCACACACACGTACATGCATACAAAGACGCAGTAATAGTTTTTCCTGCCGTTCCCCTTTAGCAAACTTCGGGAGCACCTGCAACTATGCAGCAACGTCGAAGTGATAACTCCGAGGGGAGACCTACAAATAAGGTGCATGCGCCGCGGGGTAAAGGTTAGGCCCCTTGGATCGTCGCGCCTGCGATGATACTTCCCTTCTGTGCACAGAGGCCACTACCATGTCTTGCTCAAAATGGAGCCTGCTAATCCCCACTCCTTGCCTCACCACTTCAAGGTACATCTCGGAAGGAAGTCCTTCAAATGTGAACAAATCATTTTCTGTTTGAGTCCACACGAACTGAAGGACCTTCTGAGGAACGTGATCTTCGAGGAGAAGAAAAAAGACACGCTTTTGAAAAAATATTTGTGGAAATTCCGCTCCCAGGCGGTTAGAATTTCTAACGTTTGCTTCGCCAAGAATGTGTTGCCCTTGTCGCACTCGTTGGTGAGTTGTACGCGCACGCATGGGGAGAGATATAAAGAGAGAGAGAGACCGCACTAATGCATGCCGTTGCGTTTACCTTTTATGTTCCGCTTCCCCACGCGCAGGAATCCCTCCTCTTGTTCAAACAGAACAAACAGAACAAGCTGATCTCTCTCCTGTACGAGCGCAACATATTCCCCCCCCCGTGTGATGAGCCTAGTGGACTAGAGGAGGATTATCCAGGAGAACCCTCGCCGGAGGGGGGCCTTTACGAGACGAGGTAACTAATGCCCGCGTCTCTCATTTGTGTTGTGCCGGGCGATTAGAAGGAGCATTTTGTGCACAAGTGTACGTGTGAAGTTTATGCTGTTGCGTATATGTTACTTGTCCACCACTCACGTTCCACTTACACTTGCACCTGCCGCAGCCTGCGATTTATGAGCAGAGAAACGGATGAACGCAAATCGGTGGAGGAAATAAATGGTTTTCTTCGAGGCGTCTTGGGTGTGCATGAAAAGCCCGACTTGGTAAGAGAAAAAAAGAAGAAGAAGCTTCTCTACACATGCGCCCTGGAAGTGGTTATCCTTTTTTTTTTTTTTTTTTTTGCAACGTTGCAGTGTTGCGCTTGTTCTTTCGTTAGATGCTTCTCCTATTTACTTCATCCTTTTTTGCTACCTCTCCTTGTTACTCCACCGCCTCGCAGCTCATCAGCCACGTCCACCACGTCTTCCCTTTCGATGCGCGCGCCGACCAGGTGTACAAAAAGATAATTAGCAGAAAGTGCAAGAGGGTACGGCTCTTCTGGCCATTCTACTTTTTTAGAAGCTTCGAGTTTTGCCTGGAGGAAGCCAAGCGGCTTAGCGATTCGGTGTAGTGAAGGAGTATAGCGAAAGCGGTGAAGCGCCCTGGTCAGCGAAGTAAAAAAGAAGAGGCTGCGCGTGTGTACATAATCGTGGTGCCACCACCTTTCGCATATACTTTTTCTTTTTTCCCTTATTTTATCCTAGCGAGCGGCACATGTGTGTTAGCTTGATCCTGCATTAGTTATCCCTCCCCTCCCTGCTTGTTAGTCGATATGATCCACTGCGTTGTCTCCTTTCCCCTTTATTAATTTTTTTTTTTTTTTTTTTTTTCTGCACAAAATGTCGCCCATTTTGGAGAGAAACCACCTGAACAACATGAACGGTTAAGGTATTTTTTTTTTTTTTTTTTTTTTTTTCATCCTGAAATGGCTAGCTTCTCGGCAGAGATACTCATATTTCCCCACTGGGAAACCCTTATCTGTTAAAACTACATCATTTTAACAGTTGTGTAAAATGGGCAATCTGTTAATCGATCAATCGATCAGTCGCCAAATAGGGCGCGCAACTACCCATCGCCCAGTCTTTAAAAAAAAAGGAAAATAATATAGTGCCATATAACCTCATGTGACCATGCGGCCCTCGAGTGCTGCATGGATTTGCCTGCTGTTGTGCATAGCGAATTACACATGTTACGCCTACCACGTCGGTAGGAGTGACCTGTACATGGGCAGGGTCCCCCACCGAATGAGCAAGCTGAACTACGAAAATGGAAAGCCGCACATTGATGCAGGCGTTGTGAATTACTTCAAGGGAATTCGGGAGGAATTCCCCTTCTTCAAGAGGGAAAACTGCCCCGCGTACTTCGACAGTGCGGCCACAACGCAAAAGCCGGAATGTGTGATAAAGGTGAGCAGCGTGATGAGAATGGGGGCGCTAAATAATCAAGCGACGTCACACCGACGTCTCGTCGCCTCACTAAACAGTCTTGCCGCACACCGCTAACCACCTTTCCCCCAGAAACTGACCCAGTTTTATGCCAGCGAGAATGCCAACATCCACCGAGGGATTTATAAATTGAGCCTGGACGCGACGAACAGCTACGAACAAGTGAGGAAGAAGATAAAAAACTACATCAACTGCGAAAGGGAGGATGAAATTGTATTCACGAGCGGCACGACCCACGGGCTGAACCTCATTTGTAGCATGTTGATGGACAAAGTAATACAAAAAAAGAAAGACGAAATATACCTGACGTACCTGGAACACCACTCCAATCTGGTTCCCTGGCAAGAACAAGTAAAGAGAAAAAAAAAAGGAAAAATCAAATACATCCCTCTAAAGAGTACCGGCTACATTAACATTAACAAGTTACGAAAAAGGATTAACAAAAACACCAAAGTGATTTCAATAAGTCATGTATCAAATGTGTTAGGAAATGTTCAAAAATTGTCTCGAATTATAAGGGCAGTAAGGGAGGTAAACAAAAATATAATTATCATTGTAGACGCTGCGCAAAGTTTTGCACACATAAAATATGACCTCAAACGGATGGAAGAAAATAATTCTTGTCCTGATGTGCTAATCGCATCGGGACATAAATTCTGTGCACCTTTGGGCTGTGGTTTTATTTACTTAAAAAACACCTTAACATGTTCATACAAATTTAACCCACTTTTGTACGGAAGCAACATGATAACAACTGTTGGTAAATATGAATCAGAGTTTGTGTCCTCTCCACATCTTTTCGAGTCTGGCACACAGAACATCGCGGGGATCATTTCCATGGGGGTCGCCATTGACTTTGTGAACAAGATCAACAAGAGCCTTCTTTGCCGTTACGAGATGTACCTGTACGATACTCTCATTTATTATTTGGGTCAGCATTTGCAGCGTGGTTTGGTGCAGCTCCCTGGGGGGGAAGAGATAGACGTGATTAGCGGTATCCTTCCTGACCAAAGCAGCGAGAAGGATCAGTGTAGACTGTACATCCACAACAGCCGAAAGGGCAAAGGAAAAAAAGTACCCATACTACCCCTGTGGTCAGACCAGTTTACCTCCTTCGACTTGGTAACCTTCCTGGACTTCAAAAATGTGTGCATCCGGTCTGGTCACCACTGCGCTTCCCTAGTGCTCAAGGAGTTCTTGCGCATACCCGATTGCGCACGCGTTTCCCTTTTTTTTTATAACACACCCGAGGAGGTTCAGTACCTGGCTGAGCAGATCGCGTCCGTTGCGCGAATGCTGAGTGGGATGAGAGGGGGTGGAGCGGCCACGTAGAAGTGGAGTTTTGTAGCGTTGACGGTGGGGGACCTCTTTCGCAGCTATAATCAATACGACCCCTATTTGTGACTACACCCCACGTTCGCAACAATGTATACCTTTATGTATGCCTTTATGTATACCTTTATGTATGCCTTTATGTATGCCTTTATGTATGCCTTTTATGTGTGCCTTTTATGTGTGCCTTTTATGTGTGCCTTTTATGTGTGCCTTTTATGTGTGCCTTTTATGTGTGCCTTTTATGTGTGCC